AAGTGGGAACACGTGTATTTTATCTTTTTTTTTTTTCTTTTTTTTTTTTTTTTTGTGTGTGTGTGTGTGTGTTTCTGGGCGACGTTTTTGGGAAACCTTTTCTTGTCTTTTCTTTTCTTTTGGCCTTTCTTCTTTTTCTTTTCGCACACTCGAAAGGTCTTGTTGGTGGTATGGAATAGTTGTTGTGCGTTTGTGAAGGCTACGTAGTTGTGTCTGCTGCTTCTGGGAGTGCTGACTGTTTTATTGAAGTGATCCTGGTCATTCCCAAAGTGCAAATTCACAATGAAAGACAATGCCACCCAATTGTGAAAGAAATGAAAGCACTTGCAAAGAGATAGAGACCAAAGAAGAGAGAAAGAAGAAGTAGAAGAAGAAGAAGAAGAAGAAGATGTACACCAGCAAGACCAGTGACAAATCCCCCTTTTCTCTCCACCTTCCTCCTCCTGCTTGACTTAGCCAATCTTATTCTTCTTCCAAATAATAATGATAACAATGAGTGGATGAACCAGAATCGATATCCGAAGTTCCCTCTTGCACTAGCACAACAATAGGTCCACCATAGGCATGGCTTCCCCCTTCTTCCTCATCTCACAAGCCAAGGCTATGGCGGAGTACTAGGGGCTCTTCCGTCTTGTGCAAAGGACAACACAAAGCAGCTATGTCGCTGCTCATCAGGCCGCCATGCCTGACTCTGCCTCGAGCTTCCTTGGTGCGGCACTACCCCAATTGGGGCCTTCCAGATGCAGCGCCTATCAAGGAGATGAAGATGGTGTCCACCATAGTCAGGTAGGTACCTAGCCACTCTCCTCCTTTGCCCCCTCCTTCTTCCTCCTCCTCAGGCTGGGCGGCTTGCCATAGCCAGGCTGAGCGCCCAGCTGCTCTCCTTCCTCCAGGCAGCCCTCCCAAGTCCAGCGCTTGGCTCCAGCAGTATGTCGCCAATCCTTGCACACCGCAAATGAGGAGGAGCTACTTGCTTCTCCCGAAGATATAGCGGCCTACTTGCCTCTTGGGCGGTGACTTCCTAGGCCGCGCGGGCTCCAAGCAACCGGTACCTCCTCCCTTTCGGAGGGAAACGTCATTGCAGGCCCTGATATCGTCCGTACAGGCCCTAGACTCAGGCTACTTGGACTGGTACCGCCCTACCTCTAGCCTGCCGCTACTGGGCCTCTAAAAATGCCAACTTTTTGTCTTCTTCTGCTCGGCCTCGAGTACCCAACACTTCGACCACTACTCGAGTGCTACCGGCCTACCTGCTACTTGAGTGTTTTTCCCGCTGCTCTAAGTGCTGCGGGCCTACCCCCGCTACTTAGTGTTTTCCCGCTGCAACCCTCAACGTTACGGCCACAGGTAAGTACCGGCCCTGCGGGGCCTCCAAACCAACAAGTACCCTTGTGAGTCACACACACACGCAAGCCAACAAGCACTCAGATAGGCATGCAGACCAGCAGGCCCACACACATACAGACTTAGAAATCACAGCAGAATGCGGGAATCTCAGCAAGGCGTACATTCCAGCAGCAAATCCCAGAAATCAGCAGTGTTCTCAGTCTGTGTTTTGGCGGGTCGTTACAGAAGAGATAAGCATTTCTTACATTGTTGCACAACTGCAGTTGCTTCTGGGAGTAGCGCTGATTGATCTTTTGACGACACAAGTCTTTCTTCTGTTCTGTGCCATTGTAGAACACCAACCAATTGGGGAACTCATGTTTGTGGATCATGGTGGTGGTGGTGGTGATGCGGTTCTACTTATCATATGCAGAAATTGATGACAAGGGCGGAGTTGCGCACTGCCATTGCAAGGAGGCGGGCAGGCAATCGTAAAGGGTTCATAAGTGGGCTTGACCCATTTTCTGATGTAAGTACCTGCTTTATCATGTGGCATATGTAAAGAGAGTTTAAGAGACTCTTCTTTGCTGGCTGTGTGCCATCGTTCTCTACACATCAACTTTCAGACGAGATCCTCTTTTCTTCACCTGTTAATGCCCTCCTCCTCCCCTCCTCCTCTTCCTCGTCTTCTTCCTCTTCCTCGTACTCCTCCTCCTCCAGGCATACACTGAAGAACCGCATCCATAGTACATAATGTGGTCAAGCATTGGATAGAAACAAATACATGCAAAGAAGAAGACAGGGAAAAGGAGGGGGAGGAAGAATGAGGGGGAGGAAGAATGAGGGGGAAGAAACATGAGACGCTGATGCGGAGCATAGAGCCATCAAGGATGACTGACAGGGAGGGGACAGAGGACGAGGCAACCATGGAGTATGATGCCAGCCACCAACAAGGGTGATCGGTAATAAGAGAGGGGAGTGGAGGTGTGCGCAGGAGGAGGAGGGAGAGGAGGGATAGAAAAATGGACAAACAGAGAACAGTCTTGGTTACTTGATCCCTCTCTCTTCTTGGATATGCTGACATGTCTATTGTGATAAATAAATTTGCCTTCTTTTTTTTCATGGCACTGATGTGATGTGATGTGACATTTCTGTTATGACAATGACGATGATGACCTTCTCCCCACTTCTGCAGCAAGTGAAGCTGTGGAAACCACCTCCCCACCTCCTCCACATGTATAGAAGGGTAACTACTTTGCCCATTACAAAACTTGAGCAAATGGCTGCTGCCCTACCAACCTCCCCTCGCTCTCTTCAGTGTGTGTGGGAACATATCAATCTCTCTCTGGCCCTGTTGCGTGACCTCTTGAATGAGTGCACATTCTTTATTGTTAGAAGAACACAAACGTTCTCGATCCCTACGCTGGGTAGCGTCCTTGAATGCATGGGTGCTATGCCACTCTTCTCTGAATCCTTCCAATTTTATCACGAATGTCCCGATGGACTGCTTGCACCACTATTATGTCTGATGCCTTGCTAGTACACCCTCTGGCTTGTATTCCCCTCCACCCCTTTCTCCCCTCCCCCCTCCCCCCCAAACTACCAACATGACCCATATATAAATGATGACCCCCTGGCAGGTGAACGTGTTCTGAAGCACCACCAGAACAAGCAGTTGCATACCCACGTAGCTTTTCTACCTTTGCCACTTCCCCCTCCCTCCTCGGCCCCCCACCCCTTCCCCTATCGTACATCATGTCCCATGAGAAGGTGAGGTGAGGGAGAGGTAGGGGCTGTAGCAGCCCGGCACCTCGGGCCCATGGATAGCTAGGCAGCAGACACAGCATATGCAACAGTGGGGATCAGTTTGCCGTACTTAGTACTGCTGTGGTACTTCGTACTGTGGTACATTGTACCATGGTACTTGGAACAGCGGTACTTGGTACTACCGTACTTGGTGCTTCGATACTTGGCACTGCGGTACTTGGTACTGCTGGAACTGATCCTATGCGGGCTGCTGCCTTCCCAGTGCAGTCATGCTGAGAAATGGTGTTTGAGGCAAGTACTGGGGAATTTGTGAGGGGGAATGATCATCATGGATGTGTTATTTATTGATGGCAAAACATGGTTGTGCGAGTTTTTTCATTCGATGTATCAACAACAATAGAAAAAATAGAAGTGGAACGATGACTGAAGTCACTGAACTGGTGAACTTCCACAAACTTCGTTTTCTGGGTTATTGGCTGCACAGGAAGAGCAAGCGAAAAAGGAGAAGCGAGCAGAGCGATTTGTTGCCACCTTAGCGCTTCAAGATGTTTCAATGCATGACAAAGTGGACTCCTACAGTATGGAGAATGCTTGGCAATCAACAGAGCGAGAGCGCATTGGAATGTCCCAGACCCTTCAGGCTGCTACAGTCGACCGCGGCTTGGGTACACCTTTTCAACTCTTTCTCAATCTGAGTCAATGCCGCTGCTGGTCATGTGTGTCTGATTCATAAAACATTTCGTCCATTGGTTGGTTGGTTGGTTGGTTGGTTGGGTGGGTGGGTGGGTGGGTGGCGGGTGGTCGGTGGGTGGGTGGTGGGTGGGTTGGTGTGTGGGTTGGTTGGGTTGGTGTGTGGGTTGGTTGGGTTTTGGGTTGGTGGTGCGATGGTTTGGGTTTGGTTTTGGTTTTGACTTGGTTTTGGATTGCTTTGGTTTGGTTTGGTTTGGGTTGGGTGGGTGGGTGGGTGGGTGGTTGGTTGGGTGGTTGGGTGGGTAGGTGATAGCGTGATCGGGCGGGCTGTTTGTGTGATTGGTCAGAGTGTGTCTAGTGCATGTGAAGGGTTGGAATCGGTGCTGCAATTGTTGTTTTTCATGTAGTGTTTGCTAAGTCTATCTCTTTGCGCTTGTTCGTCTTCTGCATTGTATGCTCGCTTTTCAGATGTGTTGGAGGCACGCAAGGATGTGCGGCCTGGCACAAAATTGCGACGTGAGACTATTCACATTTACGGGACAGACCGTATGTCGACGAAGGATGTAATGATGTACATGAAGGATTTCGGACCAAGTTTTGTGGAATGGATCAACGATTCTTCTTGTAAGTGAAATGTCACAAAAGTGGTGAGAGGGAGGGGGGGAGGGAGGGAGGGAAGAGGGGAGCTGTGGGGAAGGGGGGGGGCGCAGGAGCTGAACTGCGTAAGGCAATGGTTGGAGAACTTGTGGCTGCACACACAAAGGCAATAAATTGTTGAAAAGAATTGCAGAAAATCTCAACAGCAGAGCAGGGAGACTTTGCTTCACAATTTTGATGGGATGCATGGACTGGGTGCTGGCCAGCGCATACTGAGCTGAGTGAATGAGTCTGAATTTGGACACAGTGCGTGGTTGAGCGGGCTGTGGAAATCACATATGTGCTGATTGTTGGGGCTGTGCCCTGCGCTGTGCAAATTGCATATCTGCTGATTTTTGGGCCTGCACCTTACCCCGTGTCAATAGTCTCCCTAAGTATGGGAGATCGAGCCAATAGACATTATCTCAGCAGTGATCTTCGCCTCCAGCCATTGCAGCTTTCCTTGAGTGGTAGTACTGGCTTGCCATTGTAGGCGTTGCTCTGCATGGGGAGGTTGCGGCTAAGGTGCATCCTTAATGGAATCCAATGATTAAAACATTTGGATAGATTGAATTACTACAGGGATTAAGAATGAAAACATGTGGGGTTGGGGAGGTAGCCGTTGGGAAGCCTGCAGTGTGATCTTCAGCACCCCGAAAGACGGTTCTGTGTGTGTGTGTGTGTTTGTGTGTGTGTGTGTGTGTGTGTGTGTGTGTGT